GCTGAGATATTGTCGGAGTGTCCATATTAGGAGACGACATGTTAACAAAAGTCAAGTAGTTCAGTTCAGTCAATGAACTGCAACCGACAGCCAATATCATACTCGAGTAAGTGACCTCTTACATGACTTGGTGGAGCCTGATAGCTGCAACGTTTTGCCTTGTAACTGCAAAGTGCTGGTTTCGAACCATGGTGGTTACGCAGTACCGAAGAGTCACAAACTAGGACGAAACTACTACGCAGTACTATCAGGTGGTTTTCCAATGATTCCTAACTGAAATCAATTCGTGGTCTAACGAGCCTGCTTCACCACCGATTTCCCCTGATTTTTGGAGGTCCTAATGGCTAGACAATGTTCAGCTTTGTGTCACCTCAGAACCTGTCATTGAGACATTAACGTACTGGACAGATATCTTATTCTAGGTTTGCAGTCTTGAACAGTGCACACCAACATTACCAGTCAAGGCACTGATAATGAAGGACTTCTACTGTATTTTCAGCAGTGCATTTATAGTGAAATATTCTCGATAATACCTAAAAACGTTTCTATTTACACTTGAGCTGATTATTTATAAATAGCCAAAAGTGAAAATGTCTTCAATCTTGATGGTTAATTTTTTTTATTCTGTTCATTTGTGTAAACATTTGTATAAACCCAAAAATAAACAATTGAATATTGACACATACTGTGACTCCGTTTTAAAACAACTACAGATTTTGCAAACTTTTGAAATACAAAATATTCTTATTACAGTGTTAACGGGATGATTAATATCACACTGGTTTTTCCATTCAGATTTTTAACGTCTAATCCCCTTTACTTATTTGTAAGTTTAACTTAAAATGTCACGTAAAAATTGGACGTTTAAGTTAAGTGAAACGCTGAGTTACCTGCTGTTCATTTTGTAAAAAATTGAAAATTAATTGTTTACGGTAGATCGCTTATCTTTAAACTGAATCTATGCACCTAGTTGACTCTTCATTCATCACTGTCGAATGGTGTTTATCTAGAGTTTATCTAAAGTGATTACAATTCAGTATGATTAATTTTTAAGACAAATTGGGATATTTATAAAGAGATATCAGTGGGGAAGTAAGTATTCGTAAATTTTCTTAGACAGTTGATGAAATAAAATAAAGTAATAGTTTTTAATTCTGAAGGCGAACACAATCCATAATATAAAATTAACAGGGTAATATTTAATTTTAACTGAAGGGTGCTGTCAGTCATCTAGATCAGAAACTGTAAAGTTGACAACTTCAGGGACAGACAATCCCACAAATCCTGAGCCTGGTGATGCTGCTGGATGACTAATCGTTGCAACTCATGATACTATGACAACAGTAACCGACTCGAGAATATCAGAAAACAGATTGGCCACTTCAAGTCTTGTTTGTTTCTTCTCTGAAAATGAACCAGGACTACAGAGCTAATACAGCACAAAGTCTATGAAAAAACACAAGCCCTTATCCGTACTTTTCTACAGCCTTCTGCCCAACAGTGTGTGACCAGATGAGTGAATATGTAATTATGTCAAATATCAGAGCTTTAAGTTTTCACACCTCATAAAGTGTATGTCGTTTTACTATATGTGTAAAACTGGGGCACCGTGGTAGTATGTTATTCGATATAAATTTATTTATAAGACATAGCACACACAGTGTGAAACAGTATTGTTTACTGAATGACAAGGTTTCGAACACAATTTATCCGGCTTCATAATCACATCAATTATCACTACACAACTCCGAAACTTCCGTTTTATAGTTTTCTTTATTCCTTCCTATTCGTCGTCATAGAGGTGATAGAAAATTTCCAGAAGTCTGAGTGGACAGGTGTTGAATCATTCCTACTGCATATATTTTCAATTGATTTGACACCAGCCGGTTAAATTAGATTTTAAGAGTGTCATCATGAAACTCGGAAACCTTACGTAGAATTCTAAGCAATGCAGGGATAAAAGTGGCATTCAACCACCTCCCCCACAAACTCAGTTAGAAACAAGCTTCGTCGCCTGAAGTATCCTGTAGAGCCAATTAAACAAAACAATTCACTTTATCTAATACCGCACCTGCAGGGCTTCTCAGGTTAAATACTCATTTCATACCAATAGAACAGGGTCAGTCAAATTGGTGGAGCACAAGAACCTAGCAAAATCTAGATTAGTTGACCCTAATAAGATAAGAAATCTCGAGAATAGTTCAGCTATAACACTGCACGCGGCTATACACAACCATTCAATAAGATAGAATACGATGATATTCTTAAGAACTTATATAAGCGTTTGGTGGGAGAGATAAATAACGGAAGCTTAATTTATCGAGTCATCTGCAAATACACGTTGTACGAATAATTCAACACCTGTCTAGCCGGACATCTAGAAAATTCTACTACCCCTTCGACGAATAGGGATGAATAAAGAGAACTACAAAAAGAAAATATTGCCATTTTGTTATTACAATTGGTGATATGATGATGAACAGTAATAAATTGTGTTCGAAACCTTGTCATCCAGCAAATAATACTGTTTTACAGTGTGTGATATAGCTAATGAGGACTTTGACATGCTATTCCATTTAACACTTTCAAAAGTGAATATATTCAAAGTTGTTCGAGTATCAGTATCTAAACGTTGAACAAAATGAAGCAGTATCCTTTATGACAGCGATTACAGTCTGTAAAACGAAGAGTATTATTTGGAATAACATACTGTGTCCCGCTGTTATTATTTTTCTGGCGTATTTTGTGGACAAATGTAATAGTTTCGTAACTTAGTAATATTCAGAATTTTCGAGCAGAAAACCGTTTGACAACCACTACTTTAGGACTTATTAGCAATATAAACTCAAAAGAGTTTGAAGCCAGGGCCTTCCATTTATTCGGCGATCTCATAGGCAATTCAGAGTGTGATCGAACCTATGGCCATTCAAATCCCTGAAAACCAACACTTGCTAACTGGGGAATGACTCTGTATAGGCAGTTACCTAGTGTTTTAATGAGAAGTCGAAGACATTCGGGTCAACCAGTTCAAGTACGAGAATAGTTACTCTCCGATGACATTGACTGGCGGTTGAGCTATATACATTTATCGCTAGTTGGCAGAAGCTGGAATTCATAGGCCAGTGAATCGAGTCCTAGTGGCAGAATTGTCTACAAGGTCTCCTTGTAACCGAAATGTCTTGATGTCGAAACCAAGTGAGTGCATACTGCTGAAGAGCGGGAAATTAGGGAGAAGCAGCTGCACAGTACTCAGGGCTAATTCTCAAATGTTTCTCTAATTGATGTCAGCTCGTAAGGAAACATTTTTAGAATTACTTTCATTGTGTATATAAATAAAGTTCACAACAAAACAATGTTATGATAAAAAAAATATTACGAAGAATGATAAATCTGTGGTGACTTGTATTAACTAAAGTCGCTTAGTCAATAAACTTGAATTACAGTCGCATTAATTTGGGTTTCTTCTGAATTTGTCAGACTGTTTCGCCTGTTGCTACATAAATCACTATAAAAGTATTATTTTTCCGAAGTGTTTCTAACTGCTCCACATGTTAGGAGTTGGTTAGGATGAAACTGATGTAGATAGCAAAGGTTTTCAATAAGCGGTAAGTGATTAATCCTTACGCGGACACGATTTGTGATCTTATCTCAATGCGGAAATCGAGTGAATGTGACTTTGCCTACAGCTTAATCGAAAACATTTTAAGGAGCTTCTGGTAAGAGGTATACGTGCTGTACTGATGCCACATGCTGGGAGTCAATATAAAAACTATGTATATGTATATATAGCTGAGATTCGTAACAACGAACAAAATTCGGATTTTCAATGCTAATGTCAAGTCATTTAGATCTGGTTACAGGATTTCATCATGAGCTGACATCAGTTAGAGAACCATTGGAAAACCTGAGAGTACTGGACAGCTGTTTCGTTCTAGTTTGGGACTCTTCATCAGTACGCACCCACCGGGATTCGAACCCAGGACCTCCTGGTTACTGGCTAACTGATGTCAGCTCATGATGAAATCCTGTAACCAATCAAATCCTAACAAACCAACACTTGAAAATCAATGAGATGCTCACTAGCGACTTGCCCTATTCAGGTGGGTAGTCACCTGGGGTTCTAGTGAGAAGTCGTGACCAGTAGGGTGCAGCAGGTCAGGCGTGAGGACAAATACTCGCCGAAGACATTGGCTAGGGGTCGCGCTATGTCGTGAATTGGCAGAAGTTAGAATTCATGGACCATTGGATCGGGTCCCAGTGGCTTAATGGTATACGAGCTCGCCTTCTAACCAGGAGGTCCTGGGTTCGAATCCCGGTGGGTGCGTACTGATGAAGAGTCCCAAACTAGAACGAAACAGCTGTCCAGTACTCCCAGGTTTTCCAATGGTTCTCTAACTGATGTCAGCTCATGATGAAATCCTGTAACCAATCAAATCCCTACAAACCAACACTTGAAAATCATTTAGATCTTTTGTATAGGTCAGAGACTTGGCCAGTGGATCACGAAAAGCGTTTTCAACAGGCTACTTCAGATTTTTATCTACGGGTGCCTTCGCTAACTCCACACTGAAGATCAGATGGCTGGCGAGAAAGGCTTAACAACGAGCAACTCTCACAAAGTAACCAACAAAAAACATATTGCTCAATAAATATTCCAAAGAAAGTGGATTACAGCTGAGTACACGTTGAGGAGACTTTGTGAGTGACATCACACTTCAGGCCATCACTCGAGAGGAACCGGAATGGGAAATGACGAGCTGGACATTTCTTCGAGGGTAACATGGAGGAATTCGTGTGAGGAAGAGATGAGAAACTATGGATAATCATGGAGCCAGATAAAAAGGACTACAGAGAGCAGAAGAAGATGGATATGTTCTGTTGAAGCTCTATGTTCCACTAGGAACTCAAGGGCACAATAGTAATATTATAGTGACATTTTTTACTAATACTCGAATAATTTAACAATATCATATTCACATTTTTATTGAAATGTATTTTAGGAATGGAAATTACATGAACATGTCGAGATAAAGAAACGTATAATCAAACAAGAATATTCTAGTTCAATGAAAAGTCATCCATGTTTATCTGTTACCTGTAGAGCTGCTAGAAGACCTGGCTACTTCTATTGGAATGTTTTTCTTATAATGGTAAGATTCTCGTTTTTATCAGAAAAAGAAGATAAATTTGTGTTCACTAAATTACTTAGAACAGTTTGAATTGGTCGACTGTTCTTAATCGAGCAGTGTATGTTCAAAAGCCAGTTCATTGGATCTTATCGTTAACTAGAAGTTTTATTTAATTTAACAGAGTTTCAATCACGATTTTCAGAATTAGCAAGGTATCAGCAAGCTATTGTCCACATTAAATCTGTCCAAATCAAGTTCACTTTTCGCAGTTTGAAAAAATTTGAGCATTGGGTATTTGTTATTCATTACATCATGAAGGTTTTTGTATTTCCCAATGAATGAAAAGTAAACCGACTGGCTATTGAATGCCGCTGATAGCTTTATCAAAGTATTATTAAAGCAGAATTAAAGAAATCTCAGCATCATTATAGCAAACTTAGTCATCGTTCATCATCATGAGGTGACTTCATTAACAAAATCAACACCGACATTAAATATGGTCAAGAAGGTAATCCGAAAACACGTACCTCAACAGTTGTCATTCAATATCAATCAGAAAAGTCAGAAGATGTAATCAGAAGCACACTCGGTAAACAGAACATCAGTGTTTTCTTCAAAACATCAGAGTTACTACAAAACAACCTCGTCCAAGTAAAAGACCGAATTCCGAAGGATTCACAGTCTAATTATTTCTGTGATATACATTGGTCAAGCATCGTGAGAAATAAATATCAGAAGAAATGGACACCGTAGAGCTGTCTTTATTCGACCTCCAAGAAATGCAGTTGAACTAGAAAAGCTTGAAAAATCATCAGCTATGGGTTTACACACTACGCTATAGAATCAGGTCACAAAATTGATTTTGACAGTACTGAAAGCATCCAGATAAATTTCAGGAATCACAAAGAATGACTAATATCAGACGCCATCCATATCCAATGGAATCCAAATTGTCTAAATAGGAATGATGGAATAAAATAGAATTTGACCTGGTTGCAAAATTCCCCTCCCCACATGGGTTGATAAAATCAACACAAATGTGATAAGCAATTTGATTATATAAACACACGCTGCTTTTATAATTTAACACTTATCAAATCCAAATATCGACATATGATTTTGTTTTCTTTACCAATGGCCAACTTGACAATGTAGAAATTACCTCATGCGGAAGAACGATAAATAGGTTGTTATATATAAGCTGAGATTTTATAAATTCTGGTTTAATATTACTACTTTGATAAAGTTATCAGCAGTATTAAGTAGAGGGAAGTCATTAATAACACTAATATCTATGTTTTTCATTCATTGGTAAATACAAAACTTTTATGATATTGTTCACATTTTTCGGGCTTTTGTTACTTGTAGGTCCCTCCAGAGAACATTATTGCCCATTATTTGTTATAGTATTCAGTAGAGCACACAATCCGAAGGCTTTTAGTCCCTTTAAAGATGGCGAATGCGCAACAGCTAAGGCTGTAATGACATCACCTAAATTGCACGCAGAGTAAATACAGGTAACGAAGATGCTGAAGCAAGAAAAGCAAACACCGATCGCAATCAACCATGGGAGTCTAGACGAATTCATCTCCTTCACTAAGTTGGCTAGTTACCATTGTGAAGTCAAGGCAGCTGGTTACTACAGTGACGTAAGAGAACCAGTCCTTGAGTGCAGAAACTTCCTCGAGGAACACGCATTCACAAAACGCTCCAAAGGCAGCAAAAATGGATTGCTTGTGATTGGAATCCACGTGAGGTTCTTTTCAACAGCAATAATAACACCAAAGACTTAGAATTAATTCAACAGCGCTACTAGGCATCTGTACAGTGCATTTAATTTTCTAAGTTCAAAACAAGCACTAAGAAGCAATTAGAATATCCTCAACTAGGTAGGATGAAAAATCTTATCCACAAGAATCACGTGGCGAATAATTCCCACTGACATTGTGTAGTCAGATGACTATGATTCAGTCAAGCGAAATGGCAGCATAAAACAGCACATTATCAGTATCACCACAGGGCCACAAAGAGAAGCACTAAATTAGAGACTGAGTGGTTAGAAAGGTAAATAATAAAGATCAAGTCAGTATATGACATGCAAATGTCAGAAGAATGAAAAACAGTATAAGAGAAAAACTGATAATAATTACAGCGTCCAAATACGTATAAATATAACAATTATGTAATTTAGGAGAGATTTTCCAAATAATTTCTCCATTACGCTGCTTCCTATGTGGATGCTTATGAACACCCGGTGGAGTTGACAAGGGTCGTTAGTTGTCTTACCTAATGCAAAACAACTACATGGAATATATGGTTACTAATACGGAGTCTTAAAGCTCAGCTGTATAAAGTTTAGTTAAATTAGCGATAACGCGTAGTTCCTGTATATTCATTAGAGAGCCAGTTGGTTAGTTTTATGTGTTGTGATTTAAATCTGTTAGTTGGGTGAGCAATATGCCATGAAACGCTCCGCTGACGAATTCCTCCCAACATCACGTTATACCTAACTATTACAAGTTTGATCTTGAAATGGCGTCAGTTCTAGAACCACTGGAGAACCAGAGCTTGGATACTAGACAGTAGTTTCGTCTTGGTTTGGGACTCTTTAGCAATGCGAATCCACTGGAGTTCAAACCCAGTACCTTCCTGCTTCAAGGTGAGCTCATGCGTCATTCAGGGACTGGAACCCGATCCGATGACTAGCCCATGAATTGCACCTTTTGACGCTTCATGAAAAATATAGCACAGCCGCTAGTCTATGTCATTAGGCGAGTAATAATTCTCTCTCCTGACTTGGTGGACCCAGTTAACCAAACCTAAAACCAATCCAGTCCTTTCAAACCAGCCTAATTCTTAATTGGAACCTTCGTCATTGATAAGTATCTTGGAGTTTAACAATATTTAGTGCATGTGTTCTTCATATACAGAAACGGCACATAATAACTGAAAACTGTTAGGCATCTAGAAACGAGGAAGTACCAGGCAGTTATTCTGTTACCTAGTCATGGCCCAACTCGGAATCGAAACCAGAACCTTTGCGTTATAAGTCAATCTCTCTACGTACAAGTATTATTATTAGAAAGATATTTATTACGCTTGCTTGGTCTTCATCTAACTTTTGATGTTTTACCATCGATATTTCTCATCATTTGATCTTAGAATGAAACTTGATTACTAATCACGAACATAAAGAGGAGGGAAACCAGTTCTCACCTCTACACTGAGGAACATTTTATTCTGTATGCATAATTTACCATTTTCTCTTTTTTTCTAGTTCATGATTTCTGGTTTGGCTTTTGCTACATTTGCTGTTTCACCGGATAAAGCAGAACTTCGACTACGCTTATCCTTCACACTTATTTTAACCAGTGTCACCTTTAAATATGTGATCACACAAAGTCTACCGAAAATTTCTTACCTTACTTATATGGTAAGTTGCTGTTGTATTGTTATTTGTTTAACTGTCGAATATCAGTGTATATTCAATGCATAGGATCATTTATACATAAACGTTGTTTGTATGACAAGTATTCGAAGACAAGACGAGTACTTCAGCGAAGAGGCTGTTTCCGAAGAACACATTTTCTTCTCTGGCTGTATAAGTGGATTCATATACAATATATTTTTGATCAGACACGGTAGTTCTACACGATTTCTACCGACATTTGATGAATCCATTAAATCCTGTTTTACTAACCTTTGTTGCTTGTTTTAGACACGGTAGTAACAGAAGTGATGAGTTGTCACAAACCTAGTTGTTAATATTAGTCAATGCAGACGAGTTGAATAAGCGTATTAGAGTTACGTAATAAGATGAATAATTCAGTGAGTGAGTTGTAATCAGGGTGTACATTGAAACGAAGGAAAATATTTTTATTGTTCCCTTGGGTGTCGAGTAGAAGATGGGGCTTCAATAACACTTCTATACTTTGTCCTGTTCTCCACGTTCCTCTTTAGCTGGCCCCGTAATTGCCCATGATCTATCGTCTCTTCCTTTCACTATCTCCTCCATGTCACTCTAGGATGACCAACCCGTCGTTTCCTATCCGGGTTTCACTCGAGCGATAGGCTGGCGCGCGATGTCATTCGGCAGTCTCTTCAGCGTATGTAAAATCCATCTCCATTTTCGCCTACATATCTGTTGAGGAATGGGGTATTGGTTAGTTTTTTCCCATAGGATGGAATTATGTAAGAGTTCTAGAGAAATACAAATGTTATAACCTTTGGCGGGTTTATCTTCACTTTGTAGATCACTTTGAAGGAGGAGTTTGTTGAGATAAAGTGACCAGTTTTGACAAGGTGTATGATTATCCATCTCCTTATTGAGCCACTACTACCTTTCTGCAGCGCTGTGAGATAAGATTCTTGAACACTTTTGGACAAAATACACATCGGACAACCAATAAACCTGGCCTCCTAGCAACAGATGGACCGATTTACACACAGAAGTGGCCTGATGCGAGATCTTATCCTTTAGAGTTCTGTAGACCAGCGCGCGACTGGAGAATAGGCCTCTCAGCGTTTCCACGAAGAAAGTGCTTCCTTAGGAAGCTGAAATTCACCTCTTTAGAACATCACTGAATAGGTCGACATTCAGGTAAAGCACCTTCTTTTGTATGGATGATGTCTCTTATCTTTGAATTTTTAGCTCCATGTTCTTGTCATTAAATTTAGGTGGATATCCGTTTAGCATGAAGACTTGTTTCAAGAAGTGTAATGCTTCTTCCGTATCATCAGGACTTCAGATACGTCGGAGGAGAGTAACAAGAGATATAACAAGGTTTTGTTTATGACTGACTGGTAACCAGCTGTAGACATCTGTCAGTTGGATGTCCCATTTAATTGTACAGCTAAAAAATGAGTTCATCTAAAAGAACCTCTCCACTAAACTACTTGTCTTGCTTTTAATAATGTTCGAATGGGGATTTTTCATGAAATATTTAAAGCTTCAAATAACTGTGAAAACACCAAACTGGATAAATTTATTTGTTATATTGTGTAACTACTTCCCACGTCCTTATAGTAATGTTGATATTTATTCAAATGACTATTGGTTAGCTTCAGGAGCTGGAAGTGTCGCCAGCCTGAAGGCGGTACTTGAAAGCACACAGATTTCTCACGAAAATAGATAACAGTTAGTTCACTAACAGATTAGGCCTACGATGGACAACACAATTAACTTAAATTTAGGTTAAGGAATTCCTGATGAAGGTTTCATTTTAAAAACATTTTCGCAAAATATCTGAAAATCACTCACTATCATTGCCCACCTCTGTTTCTGTTTTTCTCACTGCGATTTACCTTTTATACGCAATCACTCCACTTAAGGTGACTAGGGCCAGTTTCCTTCATTAGTTTGTAATAATATGGACTTGTTTTATCTCATGAATTTTCTTCAGCTGCGTACATCGTAAAAAATATCGAAATTTCTGAACATACATTTTCTGATAGTGATGTTGAGTTATGAATAGAAAGTATAGGCAATACAGCTGTAATAATAATGTAAGTAGACGAATTATTCAGTTTTCATGAGTTTACTTGTAGGGATTTGATCTGTTACAAGTGTGATCACAGACTGAAATCATTTAGAGAACCACTGAAATTCAGCACTGGAGTACTGGACAGCTGTTTCGTCCCAATTTGAGAATCATCTGCAGTACGCACTCACAGCCAGCTTTCGAACCCAGGACATTTCGGTTACAACGCAAGCTCGTATAACATTCAACCACTGGGACACGATTCAATGGCCAGTCCATGAATTCTAACTTCTACCAATTCGTGATTTTAGCGTGACCACCAACCAATGTCATTGGAAGGAAATTTATCCTCACTGCCGGCTAGATAGACTTAACTGGTCACGACGTTTTACTAGAACTCCAGGAATTTCCGTCCTGTAGCAAGTTTGCTTTATTTCAACACAGTACTTATGATACAGTATGGAATTCTCACGATTTGGTTCGATATTGCATCTAATTTACTCAATAACAACAACAAAATGGGTGTAGGTAATTTAAACTGATAAAGCCAACCTTTCTGGTATAAGCAGTGACAATAAAATCAAAAAGATGTATAAAAGATGTAAAATAGCAATAATAGAAATAATATCAATGACTAAAATTATCAGATAATTGAAGTAGTGTCGGCATAAATTGCAAATAGGGGAAGATGAAAGAGCTATTTACTTTGCTCACTACATAATAATAATGGTTCACACCTAACAGTATGTTTATCACATAGAATGTAGGCTAAATTTTATATCATCGAGCTTTTGTACTTGGTTATACAAGCAAATAATCTTTTATAATGACTTCTATTCCTACCTGATGAGGTACATCAAAGGGAGAGTTGAGAGTAGGGAAGTTGTTGAGAATCAGACAATATTGATTTGAACTTCCCTGTTTACCGGTCTTGTTACTAGCTTAGAGAGGTAAGGGAGTACGTCGGCCGGGGACTGAACTCCAGACCCCCTGCGTGGTCGGCGAGCATTCTACCACTGTGCCACCGACTCTTTAGGAACATAGCATATCTGCAATACGAACGATGAAACACGCAAGTTTAACAGATTGGTGGAATGTGGTATGTCATAGTTTCTTGTCAAAGCGATGTTTCAAAGGGATTTGGTAACGAAATAGTCGTTTACCTTAATAGCACGTTATGGACACCGACGTGTTATGTATGAAACATTAAAAGTTGTCCATTGAGTCAACTCACTATGACGTTAACGCCTCTGTAGCAATATCTTTGTTGTAAGTGCTGTCACCCAAAGCATATCATTGAAACTGGGAATCGGAGGAAAGTATTTCAATATACTGTAAACAGATGGGTCGAGGGCTTCTCAAATGACCTAAAAGTCGGAAATTTACATGCAATAAATGTAATTCACTGTAACACGTGAACTGTAGATCTGAATATGCCAACTTCACACTCCAATTTCATTCAAACTAACGTTCCAGTTTCTGGTTTTGTAGACTAGTTCCAGTGTATATTTCGTCGCCAAAGGGCATAATTTAGAAAATTTATTGAGAACTGAGATGCACTACTAGATATCTGTTTCAGTAGTATTCACTCATGACACCCTTGCACTGTTTTAAAGTTCGGATACTTCAGGTATCACTTAGTTAGTCTCTACTTTCTAAGTTTTTCAGTTTTTGCATTCTACCTATCCTTCTTTACTGCACCTACCCTCTAGCTTAATCTTTCCCGGGCTACTTAAGAAAGACTACTTGGTTACACTGCGAAAGGCACTAAAAACTGTCAGTAAGGGGAGTGGGTCGTTGCTAAACCAACTCGGTAATACTGTTGTTGATAGACACATGTCATCTTGTCAGAATCTGAGAATCCTCTCTATACACACCTCTCTCCGCTTGCATCTCATAAGGCAGAGGAACTAAAAGCAATTATAGAAGACCATGTGCTCGGGCGACTAATGATAAAACTCTACAATACCTTAGTTGGCAGCCACACATTTCATGTGATCAGAAAGGTGTGTAAGGCAGGACATTACCAACTTACTGCGGAACTTTCAGTGAAAGGCCATTTTTATTCTTTCTTTCATTATTATGTTGTCATTAATATTTTCACTTAAATTAATTTCATGACCACATACTAGTGAATAGTATTATCAATATAAATGGCCTTTTTAATTATTAATCCTCTAATGAGAAATTTACATGCAATATTGTACTTTATTATTATTGTTCCCTTGGGTTCCTAGTGGAGCATAGGGCTTCAACTGCACGTCTCCACTTGCTTCTGTCTTGTGCTGTACTTTTCACCTGCATCCATGTTAGTCCATACTGTTTCAACTCCTCTTCACACGATCTCCTCCATGTCACCCTTGGACGTCCTAATCACCGCTTCCCTTTCGGGTTCCACTCGAGCACTGGCCTGACGCGCGATGTCACCCAGCGGCCTTCTCAGACAGTGTTCAATCCATCTCCACTTTCTCCTGCATATTTGTTGGGCGATTGGTTCTTGTTTTGTTTGTTCCCATAGTTTCTTGGGGATCTTGTACTACATGCTGAAAATTCCATATTTGTACCGAAAAATACTGTTTGGAATAAAGGTATTATTATTACTAATATTAAGTGATGAGGACATTTTGTTGACTACTGTTACGCCACTAGGATAGAGTCCCCGAATCTGGATGTAAATGAATCTTCAGTGCTGTAAACAACATCGGTTGGTAATGAAAGTTACACTGACATCAAACTTGTGTTTTTTGTCTTTAGCTAAGGGACAATTAAAAACATCCTATTTTGTCTCAATAGATGAAGGAAGAAAGAAAGACCAGATTTGTAGTATGAAATGTGATATCATCATTTTATTTCACAGGTTCTCATCAGCTACTGTAGACCATTCGCTACCTGAAATTACAATGGCTAAAAAAGAATGACACTAAGTAACCTACTTCAATGTTTGAATGGTAGT